TTTTGACAGCTCTCGCCCCCGTCCCCAGAGCCCAGGGTCTCACACGCACTGCCTGCCCAGGCCTCCCTAGAGAGACAGAAGAGGAAGACGGTGGGGGAGGACGAAGGACAGGAAAGTGATGAGGGGGCGACCAGCTCGTGAGAAGACGCTGATGCGTGAGGCCAGATCCAGAAACGGTTCCGCCAGCCCCTTGTCAGCTGTAAATGAAGCGCTGGGGTCCGGGAAGGAGGTGCCCAGCAGAGAAGCAAGCACTGACAGATGGCCGCTGGCCGTCACTCCCCCAGAAGCACCACCCGCGACACTCATGCTGGGCCCCAAGGGAGGCATTGGAGACTGGGTCCAGGATCGTGTCTTTGAGGGACATGGCTAGTGGCACATCAGCGGGCCCTGAGGCAGCGGCCCCAGCCCAGAGGTGGCACTGGAGGGAGAGGGGACTGCGCCAGAGGTGAGCTGGCTTTGTACCCAGGTGTCAAGGTCCAGGTATTTCAGCTCGGAAGGCAGCAGGTGCCAACTGTGCCCCCGCCCAGGGCCCAGACACCATGCGGGGGCACGTGGCGGGTCCCTGACCCACCCTCGGGCAGGTTACGTCTCAACAGAGGCGGCTTCTGGGAAATGCCCGCTGACTGCTTCACAACGAGAGCCTCTGTGTGCCTGGACCTGGGTGGCCGCTGGGCACACGGTGGGGACACAGTGGTTCTGGACCCCGCTTCACGGAGCCCACGGGACACCGACACATGCTGCCTCCGATGCCACCCTCCTCGCCTGCACCAAAAGAAATTGATAACAGTAACAAAGATGCTCGCAGCAGCTGTGGGGCACTGGGAAAGGCTGCTGTTCACACTGCAGAGGCCAGGAAGTGGCCGATGGGGAGAGGCACAACCATGGGCTCTGGGGGCTGGGCCAGTGGGCTGCAAGAGGCTCAAAACACCCCACCCTTGGTGGGTGCCCCCTGAAGACTGGGAGTGGGGGGCAGGAAGGGCCAAGCCAGGGGACAAGTGGAGAGACTTGCCAAACAGAGTAGCGGCCTCGAGCTCCCAAACATCCCCCAAGTCCAACTCAGGGCTAGGCTGTACTCAGGACACAGACAGCACAGACAGAGCAGCAGGCAGCTGGTCCAAGGGCCGGGACGCTCCCTGGGAGAGAGAACCCCTGAGCAGATCCTTGAAGGGTGCACCGGGCTCAGGGAGACCAAGAGCAGGGTAAAGGAACAGCATGTTCAAGACCACTCGGCTAATGCATCAATTGAACCAGGATTTGACCCCCGAAGCCCATGCCTCGGTGCCTCTCAGGCAATAGAGAGCCACAGAAGGTGCCTGAGTGAGGGAGTGGCCTGGTTCTCTGCATGGGGCTGGGTCGGGGAGAGATGGAGGACATGGCTAGAGGTGGAGACAGGGGCGCAACCCCACAGCACAACAGCAAGGAACAGCACCAGGATGGCAGAGCCAGGCAACACTTGGGGTTCTGTAGCCATGGCAACAGACAGCCAACCCTGAGGCGGGGTTCCAAGAGCTACCTCTGACAGGCATTTACCAAACCTTCAGCACGAGGCCAGGTGGCCCATGGGCCCACCACACCTCCCAGCTGCACTGGCAGGCCTGGCTGGCGCCTGCTTCCGGCCTTTCTCCCAGAGCCCACTTCCCGAGTTCAAAGGCCAGGCCTTCGGGCTGCTCTGAAATGTGGGCGACACTGATGATGTGACTTGGGACACCCCCTTTTCAGAATACCCCATTTTACTTTCGCTGGGGGAGGCTGGCCCCAGCCACTTCGAGGTTCTACTTTGTGGTTTACCTGCGGGTGACCCATCTGAAGAGGGGAGATGCTTTCCTCCAACACTCAGTCCCGAGGGTGTGGGGGCTGCGGGGGCGGGGAGACAGGTGGGCGTCCTCGGCAGTGAAGCCTCCAGCAGCCCCTACCCTGCCCGGCACAGACACAGCTGGGTCTGCGTGAATAACAAAATATGAAATTCATATTAATTTTATGTTTAGTCAGGCAGGATTTGAATTTCAAATCAGACCCTGAGTGGATTCAGACTGACTGACTACAGCCCATCTCCCAGGGCCTGTCAATCAACTCCCGGTCCCCCCAACAGTCCACCAGCCCCGGTGGCATCCAAGTGGCTTTCTCAGGGGAGCCCGGAGCATCAAGACGGGGTGCAGAGGGCTTTGCACCAAGACAAGCAGGTGCAAACATCCCAGACTCTAGACTTTGCCTTCTGAGGCCATGGCCCAAACCTTCCCCCGGGTTTCCAGACCAGCCTTCCACCCAAAAATCCACAGTTGATGTGGGGTTTTGACGGCTTTATTGAGGTGTAACTGACAAAACCGTAAAGTACTTGCAGTGCACACTGTGGTGATTTGATATATGAGTACATTGTGCAAGGGTCCCCAGTCTAGTTAAGTAACACATCCGTCACTTCACATATTTACCTTCTGTGTGTGTGAGAACATTTCTCTCTTAGCAAGTTTCAGTTACACACACAGTGGTATCAACTGCAGTGCCACGTTCTACATTAGATCCTCAGACCTTAGTCATCCTATAGCTGATGACTATAAGATGCACCCATTCTCCCCACCCCGCCCCAGCCGCTGGCAACCTCATTCTTTGTTTCTATGAGTCTGACTTATTTTTTTGGATTCCGCATATAAGTGATACCATGTAGTATTTGTCTTTCTCTGTGTGGCTTATCTCACTTAGCACAATACCCTCAAGGTCCATTCATGCTGCTGAAAATGGTAGGATGTCCTTCTTTCTCATGGCTGAATATATTTTGATGTGGCTTTTATGACGTTAATTTTCCTGAACTTTGCCGCCTGCTACCACCGTCTGTCTATGCAAGAACCAAGATAACACCTACTCCTTCACTCTATCATGCATTCACCTTTTCCTGCGGCCCCGTTCGAGCCTGGCATCAGCTAACGAAAGGCTCTCCCTAAAGACACTGTCACTTTACGGTGCGACCTGCTCCTGGCACCTCCTACCCACACTCTTAGCCTCAGTAGGCTCTCTACTCCCTTGAGCCTTTCTCCTCACCTGTGAAATGGGATGACCCGACCTGTTGCAGGGAGCGGGCTCACGCCTGCTTGTAGTCTAAGCAGCATGCAATTCATTCAGCAACACTGTGCTAGTATCTCCTTGGTGCCTCCCGTGTGCCAGTCCCTGTCCTTGGGGGTTGGTGGGGGGGCAGTAGGGATGGACACCATGGTGAACAAATTGGGCCAAACTCCCTGCCCCTAGAGCTGACATTCCAGGATAGTGGGTCTCAACCAGGGGTGGTCTTGCCCCACTAGAGGACACATGGCAATGTCTGGAGACGCTTTGGTTTTCATAAGCCTGGAGGTGGGGTGCTGCTGGCATCTAGTGGGTGAAGGGCACTGAATACCGAGAGGGATTCAGTGCACAGAACTGCCACCAGAGCCATCCAGCTCAAAATGCCAACATTGCCAAGATGGAGAGGCCTATTCCAGGGAGTGAGACTGTGAACAAGATAAATAAGTAAAACAAATAGACTGTGAGGCGTTCAGTACCGAGGAGCTGGGCCCCACACAAGGAAGGAAAAGCACAGTGCCATCTTCCCTGGCCCAGCAAGAACAAAGCGTCACAGGGAGGAAACGCTCCCAGCCTGAGACCCAAAGAGAAGTTGCCCACTTGGCACTGAACCAGGCCAGAGACGGCCCACAGCAGCTGCCAGACCCGGAGATGAATGGGGCCCGGTCCCTGTCCCCAGGGCTCCCAGCCTAGCAGACGAAACACACACACCCCACGGTCCCAGGCTTTGGCCACCTGTGGGCCGTGTGCTCCTCGGCAGGTGGCCTGGCCCTCTCTCTGAGCCTCAGTTCTCCCAGGTGTAAAATGGAGACAGTGGCAGGTCCCATCTACTTGGTGTGACTGTTTTGGGGTCAAATGGGACCTGGCCGTGGGAAGTGCTCAGTCAAGGGTCTCTGGCCTTATGCTTCAGTGTGGAGGGACATGGAAGATTCTGGAATACCGAGAGGAGGGAATGGTGAGCATGCCATTTGCAGGGCTGAAGAGCTCAGAGACACATTTCATCAGGGAAGACACCCACCCAGGGTCTCCAAGGCTGAAGTTCACCAGGCTGATAAGACCACGCGGGAGAGTGAGACAAAGTGTCACTGGGGCACTGGGTGTGTGTGAGCATACTGAGGGACATGGAGGGATGGGGCCCCACGAGGCATGACTGCCAGACCTGGGACTCTGCTTCATGCTCGCCTAACGGCCCTGACAGTGTTCTCAGCTCAGCAACCACAGGGGCCCCTTGAAACCCAAAGTAGACCTGTCCCTCCCATCTCAGGCAGCGCAGAAACCTGTCCTTACAAGACCCACAGCCGTCGCTACGAAGACCTCATCCTGCGAGCCTGTCCCCCTCTCCTCCGCTCCAGCCACGCTGGCCTCTGCGTTGCTGCAGAAACACGGCTGGTCTGCGCGGTCGCACCTGCGGCCCCCTCTCCCAGGGACCCACTGCCGCCAACACCCAGGGTTTGCTCGGACCTCTTCAGGGCTTTGCGCAGTCAGGATGGAGGCAGGGAGGCCCCTCCGGGCGGAGGGACCCGCAGGGCCAGAGGCAGCTGCACGGGAGGTGGCCCGGTGGGGGGCCCGGCGGAGCTGGAGCTGACACTCGGAGGAGGCCAGGAGGGTTGCACGCCTCCGAAGTGTGCCAGTGGGAGAGGGTGCGGCCGGCAAGGAGTCTGGCCCCACCCAGAGCAGAGGACTCGCAGGTGGCGCCGGGGGGCCACCAGCTCCGTCCCGTCACTCGCCCTCCCTGCCTCACTGCGCCCCGGCATGAGCAGCTCCATTTCGCCGACGTGGCAACGGAGCCCAGCGCGGGAACGGCGTCCCCGCGTCCAAGCCGCGGGCGCGCCGTCCGGGCCGCGCCGCCTTTCACGTGTGGACCTAACGTCACCGGCGCGACTGCCCAAAGGTACGTGTTTTTCACATTTGTGAGAAGTCAACACGCTTTTCGCTCTATAATCTTTGAAACGTACCTTCTCTCCTAACAGCCCGTCGTTCAGCTCGCCGGTTCGTCGCTCGGGCTGCGGAGTTCGTTTTGCCGGCTGCATAGCGCTCCACCGGGTGACCCTCGCCAGCTCACTCTCCCAGTCTCGGGTGGCTGGGTGGGCACCGCGAGGGGGCCCGGGGCCCCTGCGGCGCGGAGACAGCGGGCGGGAGGCCGAACACCGCCCTCAGGAGGCCGCGCCGAGCGGGTCCGAAGGGGCGTCCGCACGCCGCACGCCACGCGCCGCACGCCCGCCTGCTCTAGACGAGCCAGCTGATTGGTCCACATCCCTGCCAATGACTGGGCGATGCCTGGGCACGTGATGCCCAGCTGGCCAATGAGAATGAGAAGAAGGCGGCCTAGGAGATGCTGGGAAACTTGCTTAATTACAGGAATCCCTGACCCTGACCCTGACCCTGACCCTGACTGTTCTCTGTGTTGCAACGTGACGCCCCAGCCACGTGGTGACCACCAAGAGAGCCAAGCAGACCAAAGAGACGGAAAGACGTGGGTCCTAGGCGTCCATCACGGAGCCCCTGAATCAACCACCCCCGGGGCTGCCCTGCCCTGGACGTCAACCTGTTGTTACAGGGGTTGTGAATTTCCTGGTTGTTCTGGTCATTCTGATTTGGGTTTGCTGTTACTTTCAGCTGCTACTTTCAACTACCTCCCAGTAAATCCGTGGTGACTCACTCCCTTCTTCAGCAAATTCTTTTGCTTAAATCAGCCAGAATTGATTTTGGTTAAGATAACAGAAGAGAGCCGGAACTCGCACCTGTCTGCCAATGAGCAAAGGTGCCGAGGGATGAGGGTGGGTGTTTGGAGCTGGAGGAGGCAGGGGAGGTAGGGCAGAGGATGGAGCTCCAAGTTACCCACCCCTCTTGGGCGAGACACTGAGGGTCACAGTGCGAGGACATGGCAGGGATCAGATTCTGGGGGGGCTTGAATGTCAAGCAGAAGAATGTCAAGTTACTCTTAAAGTCACAAGATTTCGACCAAAAGAGTCACTGAAATTTACATTTTAGGGAGTTTGCCTGGACGAGGTGTGCAGGCCCCGGGAGAGGGGCCCTGGCATCCGCTAATTCTCCCTGTGGGCCATTCAGCTCCCCACACCATCTCAGCTAAGCCACACAGCTCCCCTAGGAGAGAGAGGTTATTTTTTTCCAGATGAGAGGCCTGGGGCCCCCAGCTGGTCAGGGGCACAGCAGGAA